CTGCAGCCACTCACAGCGGCTGTTTTCCAACAGCTTGATTGCCTTCTGTTGCTCAGGGGCCACACTTAGATCGAACTTCCCCTGCTGAACTGGCCGAATGTCGGTCCGGTTGTGGCCCCTTTAGAGCAGATAGTCTCTGACTTTGGCTGTCATTGTACAGCTGACCTGTAACTTCAACCTGTCTGGTTTGTAGGATCATCGACAATGTCCGAGGGGAGCTCCAGAAGCGTCAATGGATCATCTTCGATGGTGACGTGGATCCTGAGTGGGTCGAGAACCTGAATTCTGTCCTGGATGATAACAAGCTGCTCACACACTTCCCAATGGAGAGCGTCTCAGCCTGCCACCAAACGTAAGTATTCGTGTCCCTGAACCCACCACAGTGACATCAGTCTGTAGATGCAGGAAGGCGTGCTTGTTATACCCACTGTGGGACCTAAGGGGTTAATCCTCTGCATTGTGTAACAAAAAGGCTGTTTGATCCTGTCTTCTCTGATCCTAAACCCCCTTCTACTGTCCCCAATCCATCTCTTGGTAGAGCAGAGCCTTGGGGACAAACTGCACATACTCCATTTGGTGTGTATTGCTTTTTTTTTTTTCTTTGGGGGAGTGAATGGGGGGGTCCGGGGAGAGCGGATATAGTGAATGCGGGGTCCGGGGAGAGGGGATATAGTGAATGCGGGGTCCGGGGGAGAGGGGATATAGTGAATGCGGGGTCCGGGGAGAGCGGATGTAGTGAATGCGGGGTCCGGGGAGAGCGGATGTAGTGAATGCGGGGTCCGGGGAGAAGCGGATGTAGTGAATGCGGGGGTCCGGGGAGAGCGGATGTAGTGAATGCGGGGTCCGGGGAGAGCGGATGTAGTGAATGCGGGGTCCGGGGAGAGAGCGGATGGATGTAGTGAATGCGGGGTCCGGGGAGAGCGGATGTAGTGAATGCGGGGTCCGGGGAGAGCGGATGTAGTGAATGCGGGGTCCGGGGAGAGCGGATGTAGTGAATGTCCGGGGAGAGCGGATGTAGTAATGCGGGGTCCGGGGAGAGCGGATGTAGTGTGAATGCGGGGTCCGGGGAGAGCGGATGTAGTGTGAATGCGGGGTCCGGGGGAGAGCGGATGTAGTGTGAATGCGGGGTCCGGGGAGAGCGGATGTAGTGTGAATGCGGGGTCCGGGGGGAGAGCGGATGTCGTGTGAATGCGGGGTCGGGGGGGGGAGAGCGGATGTCGTGTGAATGCGGGGTCCGGGGAGAGCGGATGTCGTGTGAATGCGGGGTCCGGGGAGAGGGGATGTCATGAATGGGGGGGGTCCCGGGAGAGGGGATGTAGTGAATGCAGCGGGTAGAGGATGCGGGGTCTGGGGAGACGGGTTGTAGGGGAACGCAGATTCCTTCTTTTTAGAAGATCTTTGCTCTTTATGTGAATTCATGACTTGACTCACCTCCTCCATTGGTCGGCTTTTGCAGCTTCCAGCTCTCCAATTCTTGGACCAGCTCCGGCAGCCATATTTTCTAGTGTTTGGTAAAGCCCGTGTAATAGGTGTTTTGTGAGCGCAGAACTAAACGCCTTGTATTGCCATGCCGGATTTCTAGGTGCGGATCATGTTTGAAGTCCAGGACCTGAAGTATGCTACTCTGGCGACGGTGTCGCGGTGCGGCATGTGGTCCTGGTTCAGCGAGGACGTCCTCAGCACAGACATGATTTTCAACCATTTCCTGGCCCGGATGCGCAGTATTCCCCTGGATGAGGGCGAGGACGAGGCGTCACGCAGGAGGAAGGGCAAAGAAGACGAAGGGGAAGAATCTGCTTCTCCGATGCTGCAGGTGAGTGAAGAGCACAGCCATCCTTCATGCTTTCCTGGTTACAGGTCTGTGGGGGGCACAGCAAACAAAGACCACCAAAAAGATTATCGCACCTCATTGGCTAACAGCCGTATTTATTCTGGATACAAAATATATATATATTACAAACATATCACTGCATGTCCCCGAGCCCAATCCACCCCCAACCGATCTCTCCACTGACACCCCGCACAAACCCCCCCCCCCCCCCGGATAGACCCCCACTCTATACCATCTCCCCCCCCCCCCCCCCCAGATAGACCCCCACTCCAATCTATACCACCCCCCAGATAGACCCCCACCCCACTGTATACCACCCCCCCCGGATAGACCCCCACTCCAATCTATACCACCCCCCCGGATAGACCCCCATCCCACTCTATACCACCCCCTAGATAGACCCCCACCCCACTGTATACCACCCCACTCTATACCATCTACCCCCCCCCCGATAGACCCCCACTCCAATCTATACCACCCCCCCCAGATAGACCCCCACTCCAATCTATACCACCCCCCAGATAGACCCCCACTCCAATCTATACCACCCCCCAGATAGACCCCCACTCCAATCTATACCACCCCCCTGGATAGACCCCCACTCCAATCTATACCACCCCCCTGGATAGACCCCCATCCCACTCTATACCACCCCCCTGGATAGACCCCCATCCCACTCTATACCACCCCCCTGGATAGACCCCCATCCCACTCTATACCACCCCCCCCCCGGATAGACCACCACCCCACTCTATACCACCCCCCCCCCCCCGGATGGACCCCCACCCCACTCTATACCACCCTCCGGATGGACCCCCACCCCACTCTATACCACCCCTCCAGATAGACCCCCACGCCACTCTATACCACCCCCCCCCCCCACCGGATAGACCACCACCCCCTGGATAGACCCCCCCTCTATACCACCTGGGGCCACCCACACCTCCCTATAGTCCCCAGGTCTCCAGTGACTACTGCAAGTGTGTGATTTCCTTTCCATGTTCTGTGATGTCAAATCGAGGAAATAGCTGCCAATGGAGAGCGGTTGTTGCCCTTCCCCCAACTCCAAAACATTTATTGCTGGAATATCGCTTTTTGGCGCCGAGTACAGAACCGTCTTTGTTGTGTTTTTTGCTGGTTTTAGACGTCTGGCAAGTTTCATGCATGTCCTGTATTGTCTTCTAGATCCAACGTGATGCAGCCACTGTACTGCAGCCGTATTTCACGTCCAATGGGTTGGTCATCAAAGCCCTGGAGCACGCCTTCAAGCTGGAACACATCATGGACCTGACGCGTCTTCGCTGCTTGGGCTCCCTCTTCTCCATGCTGCACCAGGCCTGCCGCAACATCGCCCAGTACAACGCCAACCATCCGGACTTCCCCATGCAGATCGATCAACTGGAGCGCTACATACAGGTGATTTGCCCCGGAGCGCCAGACTTCCAGAAAGACGTTCGTTAGACCGCGGGGTGTTCGTAATGTCAGCCCCTGCAGCAGTGTTCTGTAACCCCGTGTGGAATACTCTGACACTGGGACGTGAACATTCGGGACCAATATTGGCCGGTTCAACAAACTGACTGACGGTTGGCCCCGTATGTACAGCAGTCTGTCCCCCCAACATTGGGCGTCTCCTGAGTGGAGATGATGGGAAAACAGCAGCCGGTTGGCATCGGACCAGCGCTTGCAGCCAATGACTGAGAGCGCTGACCGGGCGTGTTCTGTCGGGGGGGCAGTCCCACTAATGGAACGCAATGCAGCCAGCTCAATTTGTTTTTGTTTAGCCCACTGGGTTGAATGGGGGGGGGGCCCTGTGTACCCCCAAATGTGGCAAAAAGCATACGTGTGTCCGTGTGAAAGTACCTTAAACTGAGACCATTATTAATGGCTTTGATACAGTACGTGTGTGTGTATATATATATTGTATTGTCCCCGCCCCCCCCCGTATATACACATTATATTGCCCCAAGTATTGGGCCCCCTGCTTTCCCACACAGATGACCTTTAATGCCCCCCCAGTCTTAGTCCGTAGGGTTCAATATTGAGTTGACCCCACCCTTTCCACACACATGACCTTTAATGGCGTCCGTAGGGTTCAATATTGAGTTGACCCCACCCTTTCCCCGTACATGACCTTTAATGGCCCCCCAGTCTTAGTCCGCAGGGTTCAATATTGAGTTGACCCCGCCCTTTCCACACACATGACCTTTAATGGCCCCCCAGTCTTAGTCCGCAGGGTTCAATATTGAGTTGACCCCGCCCTTTCCACACACATGACCTTTAATGGCCCCCCAGTCTTAGTCCGCAGGGTTCAATATTGAGTTGACCCCGCCCTTTCCACACACATGACCTTTAATGGCCCCCCAGTCTTAGTCCGCAGGGTTCAATATTGAGTTGACCCCGCCCTTTCCACACACATGACCTTTAATGGCCCCCCAGTCTTAGTCCGTAGGGTTCAATATTGAGTTGGCCCCGCCCTTTCCACACACATGACCTTTAATGGCCCCCAGTCTTAGTCCGTAGGGTTCAATATTGAGTTGGCTCCGCCCTTTGCAGCTATAACAGCTTCAACTCTTCTGGGAAGGCCGTCCACAAGGTTTAGGAGGGTGTCTATGGGAAGGTTGGACCATTCTTCCAGAAGCACATTTGTCAGGTCAGGCACTGATGTCGGGGGAGGGGCACTGATGTCGGGGGAGGAGGCCTGGCTCGCAGTCTCCGCTCTAATTCATCCCAAAGGTGTTCTATGGGGTTGAGGTCAGGACTCTGTGCAGGACAGTCAAGTTCCTCCACCCCAAACTGGCTCCTCCATGTCTTTATGGACCTTGCTTTGTGCACTGGGGGGCAGTCATGTTGGAACAGGAAGGGGCCATCCCCAAACTCTTCCCACAAAGTTGGGAGCATGAAATTGTCCAACCCCTGAAAAACAACCGCACACCATAATCCCCCCTCCACCAAACTTTACACTTGGCTCAATGCAGTCAGGCAAGTACCGTTCTCCTGGCCACCGCCAAACCCAGACATGTCCATCGGATTGCCAGACAGAGAAGTGTGATTGGTCACTCCAGAGAACACGCCTCCTCTGCTCTAGAGTCCAGTGGCGGCGTGCTTTACACCACGGCATCCGACGCTTTGCATTGCACTTGGTGATGGAAGGCTTGGATGCAGCTGCTCGGCCATGGAAACCCATTCCATGAAGCTCTCTACGCACTGTTGTTGGGCTCATCTGAAGGCCACACCAAGTTTGGAGGTCTTTAGCTATTGACTCTGCAGACAGTTGGTGACTTCTGCGCACTGTGCGCTTCAGCATGCGCTGACCCCGCCCTGTCATGTGACGTGGCCTACCACTTGGTGGCTGAGTGGCTGTTGTTCCCAGTGGCTTCCACTTTGTTATAATCCCACTAACAGTTGAGCGTGGAATATTTAGTAGCCAGGAAATGTCACGGATGGACTTATTGCCCAGGTGGCCACCTATCACGGGACCACGCTTGGAGTCACTGAGCTCCTGAGAGCGACCCATTCTTTCACCAATGTTTGTAGAAGCAGTCTGCATGTCTAGGGGCTTGATTGTATACACCTGTGTCCATGGAGGGGATTGGAACACCTGAATCACATGATATGGAGGGGATTGGGACACCTGAATCACATGATATGGAGGGGATTGGGACACCTGAATCACATGATATGGAGGGGATTGGGACACCTGAATCACATGATATGGAGGGGATTGGAACACCTGAATCACATGATTGGGAGGGGATTGGAACACCTGAATCACATGATTGGGAGGGGATTGGAACACCTGAATCACATGATTGGGAGGGGATTGGAACACCTGAATCACATGATATGGAGGGGGTTGGGACACGTGAATCACATGATTGGGAGGGGGCGGGGACAATACATTTGGCAATATAGTGTGTGTGTATATAAAATATATATATTTTCTTGGTAGCGTTTCCTGATTTACGCCATCCTGTGGTCGTTCTCTGGGGACGGACGTCTGAAGATGAGGGCGGAGCTTGGTGAATACATCAGACGCATAACTACAATCCCGCTCCCAACTACCCCCAACCTGCCGATCATTGACTACGAGGTGAAGATCCGGTGATAGATCTGTATGTCGGAGATACGGCATCCTTGTACAGACTCACATTTTTTCTGCTCTTTAGGTTTCCATCAGCGGAGAATGGCTGCCATGGCAATCTAAAGTGCCGCAGATTGAAGTTGAGACTCACAAAGTTGCAGCACCGGATGTGGTTGTGCCCACCCTGGACACCGTCCGCCATGAAGCGCTCCTGTACACGTGGCTGGCTGAACACAAACCTCTGGTGCTGTGCGGGCCTCCGGGCTCCGGGAAAACCATGACTCTGTTCAGCGCTTTAAGAGCTCTGCCGGATATGGAGGTGAGGCCATGAGCTTGGATAGACTACGCGGCTTGGTTCCCGGGTAGGCTACGCGGCTTGGTTCCCGGGTAGGCTACGCGGCTTGGTTCCCGGGTAGGCTGCGCCCCTTGTTTTCTCGGGTAGGCTGCGCCCCTTGTTTTCTCGGGTAGGCTACGCGGCTTGGTTTCTCGGGTAGGCTACGCCCCTTGGTTTCTCGGGTAGGCTACGCCCCTTGGTTTCTCGGGTAGGCTACGCCCCTTGGTTTCTCGGGTAGGCTACGCCCCTTGGTTTCTCGGTTAGGCTACGCCCCTTGGTTTCTCGGTTAGGCTACGCCCCTTGGTTTCTCGGGTAGGCTACGCCCCTTGGTTTCTCGGGTAGGCTACGCCCCTTGGTTTCTCGGGTAGGCTACGCCCCTTGGTTTCTCGGGTAGGCTACGCCCCTTGGTTTCTCGGGTAGGCTACGCCCCTTGGTTTCTCGGGTAGGCTACGCCCCTTGGTTTCTCGGGTAGGCTACGCCCCTTGGTTTCTCGGGTAGGCTACGCCCCTTGGTTTCTCGGGTAGGCTACGCCCCTTGGTTTCTCGGGTAGGCTACGCCCCTTGGTTTCTCGGGTAGGCTACGCCCCTTGGTTTCTCGGGTAGGCTACGCCCCTTGTTTTCTCGGGTAGGCTGCGCGGCTTGGTTTCTCGGGTAGGCTGCGCGGCTTGGTTTCTCGGGTAGGCCGCGCGGCTTGGTTTCTCGGGTAGGCCGCGCGCCTTGGTTCCTCGGGTAGGCCGCGCGCCTTGGTTCCTCGGGTAGGCCGCGCGCCTTGGTTCCTCGGGTAGGCCGCGCGCCTTGGTTCCTCGGGTAGGCCGCGCGCCTTGGTTCCTCGGGTAGGCCGCGCGCCTTGGTTCCTCGGGTAGGCCGCGCGCCTTGGTTCCTCGGGTAGGCCGCGCGCCTTGGTTCCTCGGGTAGGCCGCGCGCCTTGGTTCCTCGGGTAGGCCGCGCGCCTTGGTTCCTCGGGTAGGCCGCGCGCCTTGCTTTCTCGGGGAACTCTGGAGCCTTGAATAACCAATCTTCTCTCTGCAGGTTGTCGGCTTGAACTTTTCCAGTGCCACCACCCCGGAGTTGCTGCTGAAGACTTTTGATCACTACTGTGAATACCGGCGAACACCGAATGGTGTGGTCTTGGCACCTGTTCAGCTTGGAAAGTGGCTGGTGCTCTTCTGTGATGAAAATCAACTTGCCAGACATGGACAAATATGGCACCCAGAGAGTCATCTCCTTCATCAGACAGGTGAGAGGAACCGCGCCACGCCCTCCTCTATCACTTCCTATGTAGGGATTAATAATTGGTCTTCCGAGTTCTTCAATCCAGAAGGAGCCGAAATACTAATGAGAATAATTTGGTGCCTTCTCCGTGATGTCACCAGTGTGCAGTGATTGGATAGGCTGCGTTCTCAGTGATGTCACCGCTCTCTAGTGATTGGATAGGCTTTGTTCTCAGTGATGTCACCGCTCTCTAGTGATTGGATAGGCTGCATTCTCGGTGATGTCATCGCTCTCTAGTGATTGGATAGGCTGCGTTCTCGGTGATGTCATCGCTCTCTAGTGAATGGATAGGCTGCATTCTCAGTGATGTCATCGCTCTCTAGTGAATGGATAGGCTGCGTTCTCGGTGATGTCATCGCTCTCTAGTGAATGGATAGGCTGCGTTCTCAGTGATGTCAACGTTCTCTAGTGAACGGATAGGCTGCATTCTCGGTGATGTCACCGCTCTCTAGTGAATGGATAGGCTGCATTCTCGGTGATGTCACCGCTCTCTAGTGAATGGATAGGCTGCATTCTCGGTGATGTCACCGCTCTCTAGTGAATGGATAGGCTGCATTCTCGGTGATGTCACCGCTCTCTAGTGAACGGATAGGCTGCATTCTCGGTGATGTCATCGCTCTCTAGTGAATGGATAGGCTTCATTCTCGGTGATGTCATCGCTCTCTAGTGATTGGATAGGCTGCATTCTCGGTGATGTCATCGCTCTCTAGTGAATGGATAGGCTGCATTCTCGGTGATGTCATCGCTCTCTAGTGAATGGATACTGAAGACATGGGACATAAAGCAAAATGGTGTGAATGAGCTGAGATCTCATGGCTTTTAGGAGTATGCAAATCCTTCACCATATTCCATGGTTAGAATTCTTGTCAAATTCTTCTTCCATTTTTTTAGCTTTGAGTCATGGAACCCGTTTAATTTTTTCTGAACTGGATTTTTACAAATCAGCTGCCAATATTTGTATACAAATGAGTCCGCTCAGAAATCATTCCTGACCTTCAGAATGGTAGAACAATATCTTGGTGTAAAATGACTTCTGATTGGTGGTTGGGAGTATCTTTGAGTATTGATTATTTTCATGATTGAATCCTCCTGATTTAGTTTTGTGTTTTGTTTTAGATGGTGGAACATGGCGGCTTCTACAGGACCTCAGATCAGACTTGGGTGAAACTGGAAAGGATTCAGTTCGTTGGAGCTTGCAACCCACCGACAGACCCCGGAAGAAAGCCCCTGTCACACAGGTATGGTTGGGTGTAAATGTTGACGTCATTGGGGATAATGTCTGTCCGTTTTTTTGGTTTTTTTTTTGTGTACTCGCTGCTTTTTTAATTCTGTAGGGAATATTTATACAAGTCTGCTAAATGGCAGTTAGTAATTGTTGCTATTTAATGTGTGATGGGAGTCACTTTGGGTGGGGGCCCCATGGAACACAGCTCACTTTGGGTGGGGGGCCCATGGAACACAGCCCCCTTTGGAGAGGTGTGGAGACCCCTGTCTCAGCTCCCCATATCCCTCTTATGTGTAAGTCACCCTGTGCCTGTTAGGGGTGATCTGTCCTAATAGTGTGTAGACATGTATAGGAGATAGGTGGGGTGGGGGGTTGTGGATTGTTTGGTGTTATGTGGCTACATCCCATTGTTCTATTGTGTGTCTGGCTTGGGAGCAAACTATTATGGGATGTATGTGTTTGTGTGTATTGGCTTGGTGGAGGGGTGTCTCCAGCAGCCCTCCCTCCTGATGGGACTGTGCTGGTGTGAAGATTGAATACCTGTGTGTCTCTTGTTCCTAAATGTAGAGTGCCCCGCCCTGTGTCGTTATGCAGGGAGGGGGGAGTGCCCCGCCCTGTGTCGTTATGCAGGGAGGGGGGAGTGCCCCGCCCTGTGTCGTTATGCAGGGAGGGGGGAGTGCCCCGCCCTGTGTCGTTATGCAGGGAGGGGGGAGTGCCCCGCCCTGTGTCGTTATGCAGGGAGGGGGGAGTGCCCCGCCCTGTGTCGTTATGCAGGGAGGGGGGAGTGCCCCGCCCTGTGTCGTTATGCAGGGAGGGGGGAGTGCCCCGCCCTGTGTCGTTATGCAGGGAGGGGGGAGTGCCCCGCCCTGTGTCGTTATGCAGGGAGGGGGGCTTGTCCCCTGAGTGTATATATCTTGTATCTGTGTTCAAATAAACGAGTCTACCTCCTGGTTTACTCCAAGTCTGGTGTAGTCTAGTCCTGTATGGTCTCTGTGGTGTCAGTGGTCGGTGTTCGGACAGATTGGTGTCGTCTAGTCCTGTATGGTCTCTGTGGTGTCAGTGGTCGGTGTTCGGACAGATTGGTGTCATCTAGTCCTGTATGGTCTCTGTGGTGTCAGTGGTCGGTGTTCGGACAGATTGGTGTCTGGTCTTGTATGGTCTCTGTGGTGTCAGTGGTCGGTGTTCGGACAGATTGGTGTCATCTAGTCCTGTATGGTCTCTGTGGTGTCAGTGGTCTGTGTTCGGACAGATTGGTGTCTAGTCCTGTATGGTCGGCTGTGGTGCCTGTTTGTGTTCGGATGGGGAGGCGGTATTCTACCGGAAGTACCCAAGTGCAGTCTGGGTCGGTTCTGTCACATAATGGGTGACCCTGAACAAGTCAAGTGACATACTTTCCCCTTCCAGCATTTTGAACAATTTTGATCTGTAAATTCTGTCAATGTGAATGTTAGTAATCGGATTAAACTCCGTGCAGGTTTTTGCGCCATGTCCCAGTGGTGTACGTGGACTACCCCGGACCCGCCTCCCTGACTCAGATCTACGGAACCTTCAACCGGGCAATGCTGAGACTCATTCCTTCGCTGCGCACCTACGCGGAGCCGCTGACGGCCGCCATGGTGGAGTTCTACACCATGTCCCAGGTAACGGCAGAACCATTTTGTTGATTACTTGTCCTTTCTCCTGCCTTGAGGGGTGAAGCTTCATTTTGGTTTGTTGACAGGAGAGATTTACTCAGGATATACAACCCCATTACATCTACTCGCCTCGTGAGATGACTCGGTGGGTGAGGGGCATCTTTGAGGCCTTGAGACCTCTGGAGACCCTGTCTGTTGAAGGGTTAATCAGAATTTGGGCCCACGAAGCTCTCCGGCTCTTCCAGGACAGGTATGTTTTGTCCTCCTGGCTTTGTATTGTGCAGATTAAAAAAAAAAAAAAATCCACGTATTGATATTTT